CTTCTTGGGGTTCACCAAATCATCACCAGCAGCTCAATTATCTCAAGATGCTTTCTAAGATCTCTTTGGCAGCTCTCACGGGCTTCCTGCTTTCTCCCGCGGCAGCAGGGCCAGTCAATGGCAATGACCACTTTCCTGCCAGCAAGAGAAGTCCTCTGGGAATCAGTCTACCCCCTCTAATTCCTTCCATTCCGGGAGTCACCGAGCCTCTGGCCTCCAACGCTCCTCCTCTACCCATTCTTCAGATTCCAACCCCTCCTCTCGAGAGTCCTCCGTTCACCGGCGCCAACATTAAGCCGAAGAAGATTGGTTACTTCTGGACAGGAGCTGGTGACAACATCCACAAGGACTTCCTGGTCACTGCCAGTTTGGATGATGTGAGTAACCTCTTTGTCTCAGCTTTAAGAACCAGCGTGTTGAGCAATACTTACAACCTCCTTCGCCTGTTAGGACACTTTCGGTCAGATCATTGCTCTCACCGATGTGCCCACGAGCGGAAACTCTCCTCATCATCTGGGCAGCTCTCTCGATGGGAAGACACTTATTGGAGGCGGTTTACTGTCTCTGCTTAAGACTCAGGACACGGCCTTCTACTTTGATGTCTCTAACCCCTATGCTCCCAAGTTCAAGAAGTCTAACCGAGCTCTGCTGAGTTCTATTGTTGACGAGATCCGCGCCAAGCCAGAGGGGTAAGTCACCACCGCTTCATGTCATCACTTTCGCCCTCGCTGTTATTCCTGCCATTTTCGAACAGTTCCAGGGAAGATGACAAGTACTGATCTTCTCCCGTGACTAGCGGTTTCTTCATCACGTACATGGGTAGTGCTGTTGGCACCTCTCCCGGCCGCCTGGTCGAGACGAACGCGGAGGGCGATATCATCCACGAATGGCCAGAGGATGTCGCTGGAACACTCAATATCCTCGGCGAGCAATTCAGTCCCCATGGACTGGCTGTGGATTTCAACAAGGGAATCATCTTGACTTCGGACTTCGTCGTGCCTATTACAATCCTCAAGCCGACGTTGGGAATCCAGAAAGCAAGCACCCTTCGCCTGTGGAACTTGTCCGACAGAACAATCATCTCGACCATTACGATACCTGCCGTAAGTGCTCTCTCAACTTCAGTGTGATCTACAGAGATCTGATGGTTTCTAGGGCTTGGGCATTCAGGATGTCAAGTTCATTCCGGGCAACCCCGAGAGCGCTGCTATTGCCACCGCTGTTGGCCCAGGCCAAGTCTGGATCATCTACCCGTTCCGCCGCGATTCGTCTGGGAAGCAAGGTGTTGCCGAGCTGCTCTTCGACCTGGGCTCCAAAGCCAAGGACTCGTTGGCTATCTACTCGGACATTACCGATGACGGCAAATTCGCATACTTCACCATCACTCTGGGCAACCATGTTGCAGCGCTCGACATCTCCGACCTGAACAACGTTAAGAGACTAGATGACCCCGACGAGACGCAGCCAATCATCGGGCCTCACTACGTCAAGATCAGCCCGGATAAGAAGAACCTGCTTGTCACTGGATACTTTGTGCAGGGTGGTGATGTGAGTCACGGGTTACTCGTTCATGTTTGACATCCTTGTACGTAGGTGGTTTACTGACATGTTATTCGTGATAGATTTCCATTGTCAACACACCTGGAGATTACAAGGGTCATTGGCTCGACATTCTCCCCGACGGAAGCCTCAGCTTCAACCGATCAATCGACTTTGAGAGCATCTTCACCCGCGACCGTGGCGGTGCTCGACCTCACTCATCGGTCATCTTCGATTTGACTGACCCCAAGAACCCCAAGTATTACTAGGGTTCCTGCTTGCTAGAGCCCCGGCTCTTGTTGAGCTGCTCATCTGATGCTCTATCAGACCTGACTTATGAGGATTTGGAGGAGGAACAAACCCTACGGAAACAACGACGCCTTTCTTTTCACTTGGAATATAGTATCCTACTGTATCTTGTTGATGTTTATTTTAATTTGTTACGCTTGTGACTTCCTTCGGACTTTACCTATGAAGCTACATCTTGCGCGTCGCTTAGTAATTGTTATTTTTTCATGACTGTAGCATGTTGGCTCTCTCATAACCACGACTTCTTATGTGACCGTGTTTGAAGGTGATGAATCTTCAAAAGTTGGACCTTACATTTCAAATGCTTGTGAGAAGTAATTAAGAATGAACTTCAACTCAATACGGAGCTGGTCATCAGGGTAAGCGTTGGTGGTCGTGATTCGTGCACTAACAATTTCGTGCTGCGTGCGTCATTCGTCCGCCCCTCCCTTACAGAGGTCCGGCCGGACGTTCCGTGTCGCAACTGCCTGGCGGCGCACTGCTCTCGAAGGCTTGACGCTAACACCTTATTTTGTCCCGTGATCCATTCTCATCTTCATATTCTACATTTCACTTCATTCATGTCTTTTTGATACTCCATTTCTTCCAGGCTCAGACAATATGCCTGTAGAACGGAGCGCCGAGAAGAGACCCGCTTTGCCGGCGGCGTCTCCAACAAGTTCCCCACCGAGCTCCCGGAGAGCTCTAGTTTGCGTAGTCGGCTTCATTTTGTCATTTCTGGTTGTTTACGGATTTTATACCCCATGGGATAGCTTCATTGATACGGGCAGATGGTTTCCCGGGACATTTCATGAATCCGATATCGATGCAGACAATGACTTGTATCTCGTCGGTGCTGGTCGAGCCGACATTACCGGCCCGGTTGTGGAAATCAACATGATGGGCTACGCAGACCCCAAACAGCTTGGCACTGGCCTTCGACAGAGACTGTATGCCCGAGCTTTCATTGTAGGAAGCACCAAACGACGCAACGATAGGTTCATCTATCTCGTACTGGACACACAGTCGGGAGACACAGCTGTTCGTTATGGTGTGCTTCACGGGCTTGCCGAGCTAGGCTTCGACTACTCCATGTATGGTCACCACAACTTGGCGCTGACCGGGACACACTCGCACTCTGGCCCGGGTGCATGGCTCAACTATCTCCTACCGCAAATCACGAGCAAAGGCTTCGATCAGCAAAGCTACAGGGCCATCGTTGACGGTACCTTATTGGCCATTCGTCGCGCACATGAGAGCCTAGAGCCGGGGCATCTCAGTATTGGCTCAACAAAGGTCACCGGAGCAAACATCAATCGCAGCCTGTACTCGTACATGGCGAACCCGGAAGAAGAACGCGCCAAGTACAACATCAGCGCTGACAATGACGGGTCTGTCGAGAAAGACTTGACATTACTCAAGTTCCAAAGAGCGTCAGACGGGAAGAGTATTGGTGCCTTGACTTGGTTTCCCACACACGGCACATCCATGCTAGGCAATAACACTCTCATTTCGGGAGACAACAAGGGAGTGGCAGCATGGCTATTTGAGAAAAGTATGCGAAAGTCGTCTGATGCGACCAAGGGATTCGTCGCTGGGTTCTCCCAGGCCAATGTAGGCGATGTGAGTCCAAATGTGCTAGGCGCTTTCTGCGAGGACACCGGCGAGCCTTGCGACTTCAAGACAAGCACTTGCAGTGACGGGAAGAGCCAAAAGTGTCACGCCAGAGGCCCATTTTTCCGTGAGAAGGATGAAGGTGCCTCGTCCTGCTTTGAGATTGGCAAGAGGCAGTACACAGCTGCCAAGGGGCTATTCGACGACATGGGATCCAAGTCCCAGCGAGTTCGTGGCTCATGGGTAAAATCTTTTCATGCCTTCCACAACATGTCAGAATTTCACTTCGAGCTCCCTAACGGAACAGAAGTGAGAACCTGCCCTGCGGCGTTGGGCTACTCATTCGCAGCGGGAACGTCTGATGGTCCTGGGGCGTTCGACTTCACCCAGCACGACTCGAATTCGACTAATACGAACCCTCTATGGAAGGTTGTTGGTGGCTTATTGAAGGCACCAACAGATGATCAAGTCGCCTGCCATTCTCCTAAACCCATTCTACTTGATGTTGGAGAAGTGTTCAACCCATATCAATGGACACCCAACATTGTAGATATTCAGACATTCAGAGTCGGCCAGCTGATTATCATCGTCAGCCCGGGCGAGGCTTCGACTATGGCGGGAAGGCGATGGAAAGATGCAGTCAAACACCAGGCCGAGTCCTTGTTTGCTGAAGAAACTGATGTGAAGCCGGTCGTGGTGATTGGAGGACCAGCAAACAGTTACACTCATTACATTACAACACCACAGGAATACGGGTAAGCCCACAGCTATAGCACTCTATGAATCTCGGCACTGATTGTTTTGATAGAATACAAAGATACGAAGGAGCTTCAACTCTGTATGGTCCTTACACGTTGGATGCGTACATTAACCGAACGCTTAATTATCTCCCGACCTTGGGAGCTTCGTTCGCCAAGGGCCCTCCTGCTCACGCCGGAGGACCCTATCCTCCAGACAACACCAACCGCTCCCTGAGCTTCATCACTGGCGTAGTGCGAGATGGCACGCCCGTCTTCCGCAGCTTCGGCGACGTCAAGACTGACGTTAAGGACAAGTACGCCATTGGCGACGTCGTGAGAGCTACGTTCGTCGGTGCCAACCCGCGAAATAACTTGCGCCTGGAACAAACGTACGCAGCTGTTGAGAGATTGACCATTGACAAAGGGGTCATCAAGAGATGGGACACAGTGCGGACCGATTACGATTGGAACCTGATCTTCCACTGGAAGCGGACGAGCGACATACTCGCCACGAGCGAGGTTGAAATTGTATGGGAGACGGAGGGTGATGCGAAGCCGGGGACGTATCGCTTCCGCTACTATGGAGATTCCAAATCGCTGGGCGGAAAGATTACGAGTTTTGAAGGAGTCAGCGGGCAGTTCAAGTTGCACTGAGGTCTGGTTACGGGGAGGTTTGTTCCAGAATCGGGAATCATGGAGGAGTAATCATGCGATCTATGGCTCTATATGATTCCTTGTAGATTAACAGCAGCACTATGCAGAGCACACAACAGGGCTCAGCTTTCAAGAATGTTTTAAGTCTTTTCGACGCTCCGATATTTATTGAATACGACCTAGATCCTTGGACTAGTCGGTACATCGGCATCAGTAGTCATTCACTGCAAGCATTTCAAAAGGTTGATTCAAGGGATGAAAAACATACCTCATACCCAACCGGGCACCGCGTAACACACCTCCAGAAACCGTCACCGTATCCCTGGCACTTATACTCGCCATCATTGTTATTCGTCGTGACGGGCTTGCTGCACGGCGGGAGGTCCATCCTACCCTGGGCGTTGCCCTTCCACCTGGCGCAGCCCATGCAGGAGCCGTACTTCTTGCCGGGGGCGGTGCACGACCGGGCGCAGCGGCTGCTGCAGCCGGACACGTCCTCGACCTGGTAGTCCGCAAAGAGCCAGGCGTAGTCGCCGGGGGCGAGGTTGCGGTTCGAGGAGAAGCCTGGGGAGCAGGCTTGGGCGAGGGTGGCGCTTGCGCTGAGGAGGGATAGGGTGATGGTGGTTATTGTGAGACGCATTTTTGGTTTTTGGGTTATATCTGGGGAGAATGCTGCTTGTTGGTCTTTGGGATATCGAGCGAACAGACGACTCTATGCGAGAGTTCTCACAAGAAGAGTATATGTATAGGTAATAGAGAGTGAACGAGCAGAAGCGTCAGGCCATGTGGAAGTAAGAGTAGAAACCGACGGTCATTAGTACGAACACCCATTGGCTGCCATTTATACGATGTTCCGCTGATATTGTACGGAGTAGTCCAGGGCATGGTCATGTCCGGCGAATATGTCCGGCGAACATCTGCCTTGAAAGGCTAGACCGGATGTACACGGGAATTAGGAAGGATAGTGAGCAGAAAAAGCTTATACCGATGTCCTATACCATGACCTTGAGACTCGAGGGCATCGTGATATAGTAAGTCCAACGGACTGCTCCGGTTCCTTTTTATAGACGTCCTCTTTAATTAACGATCCACGCGCCAGGAGGGAAGTTCTAAAGCTTAGTATACAGCTCTCGTGTAAGACTGACTCTTTCAGACAGTTGGGGTGTTGTAAACTCGAAGTTCAAGGTGGACATTATTAATTATACTCTGATTAGTTCCCGCGCCCGGCACACTTTTGGAGCCAAGTAAAGACGAGTAGACTTAGGATTCTGTCGGTCTTGCTTTCCCTAGACGAGCCCAATCAATTTGAATGTGACTAGATAAGTTGACTATGTGCCGCTGCCGGCCATGTCTGACCTGTTGCCATCGCGACTAAGATACGGCACAAGCATCCATAATTTGCGCGGCAAGGAAGAAGGACAAAAGTCGAGCCTGGAAAAGACTGGAAAGTCTGGCAATCCCCCGACACGGATGTTCGCTCTTAACCAGAGGGTCCATATACTTGTTCGCTGCTGTGCTTCTTCGGGTACTTGGTAGTTGTGCACCTGTCAGTATGAGCAGCTATTGAAGCCAAATAGACAGACGGCTTCTCATTGCATTTACTATTGCATAGATAGCCATAGCTGTTTGTGTCGAGTGATAACTTCCTAAGGCCCGATTCTCTTCAATTGGATCGTTTGTGCCAGTAATGAGGCCGAATGGAGCGATCGGGTCTGAGGCAATGGTCGAAGTAAAAGTGTACAAGAATCAATCGTGAGGTTCCCACTGAGAAATGCTTCTTCTCAAATCTTTGTGACATCAATAAGAACCCCTGGTCCCGCGCCGGGCGCTGCCGAGACAAGCCTCGACCTGACACCCGCCGTGCATGTCTTGGCCCTTCCTCCCACCGCCATGTCTCTTGATCAAACAACCAGCGCCGGCCGAAGAACTTCCGGACCTCGAGCAAAGTAACTCATGCCATGGATTCTCCGCTGGAACTTGGAAGGTTGTCCGAACGTATTTACCGTCTAATATGTACAATATCAGATTGCCCAGTCGGCAGGCACCCCTACCCATTCGAATACAGCTGTCACAGTTCCTGCAGGAGGCAACTCTGCCGGCCAGGGGCCCGGGGGTTTAGGCATGGTGAGAAGCCGCCGCCAATAGCGGCCTGCAGCATGTTCTAGACTCCTTCCGCGCGGAGTTGGACCCGCCCCGCTGGAAACCAACAAGCCCAGGCCCCTGTGTCTCGTTGTAGCTGCACCTAGGCGGCCTGGTGGGTGGTGTGTCACGACATGGATGAATGCGAGTTGAATATAACCAGTATTATATGAACAAACTGTAGACGTCTCATTTGACTTTTGCGAAGAGCTATCCCCATTGGCGATGACGTCTCCTTGTTTGTTCAGAAAGTAAACTCGATGGGACCACATGTCCTTTTTGCATTTGTCAAGAGAGGCAAACAAGCTCGTTATCCCCTCCTCACCGTCACGTTTCGACATTGCATGATTAAGGTATTTAGGTGCTCATCGAACAGCTCCCCTAAAGCTTCATGCGTATTTCCACCACAACAAATCACATGCTACTGATTGCTAAATGGCTTCGTGTGTACAGAAAGCTAGATTGCAAGGGTCTCTTTAAGCTAAAAAAGCTAAGCTCCTTTCCAAGACTCGACTCAACCACGAGATGGGCCATAATGGGGTAGGGGGTATTTGCTAGTTTCGGAGACGCAAGACCCGAAACCAGAGCTTCGACCCCTACCTGCACCATGGGCTTCCCAGATGGGACCCCGACCCCATCGACGTTTCCGGTCCTTCTTTTGTTTCTTCCATGACAGAGGTGTGTCAATTCTTTCTTCTTGTTCTGCATTCCTTCTCTTTTCCTTCTTGTCGTTGAGGGACTTTCTTAATTCATTACGTCTTAAAGCATCCCATTATTGCCCCGTAGGCATCGGACTCCTCCCCCGGATTTGATATACAAGGTCTAGAGAATATCAAACCGACCGGGGCCACGACTGGTCTCGGACCCCTCCTCCCATTGACCTCATTGTATCCAACGGGCGATAAGCTATTGTCATCATCAGCCTTCACTTGGGATATCCTCGTGCTGTCGTCGACCCCCAGGTAACCTTTCGCCATTTCAATGCTCCCAGAGCACTTGGCACCATCATGGTATCGTCAGTCTTTGTGCTCGTTGGAGCTGTGGTCGCCTATGGCGTATATGCCTACGTCTCCGGCCTGCAACGCAATATAGCAGAAGCAAAGAAAGTTGGCTTGCCATATATCGTCACCCGTACGTGTTCAAGGTGGCAACCATCTTCTCTTTGTGTCAGGAACTGACTGTGCGAAAGCCGCGTCGCCCTTCTCAATAATATGGCAGCTTACCCACAAGTTCTGGATACCCATCATCAAGTGTTTCCCGAAATCGTGGTGGGAAGATTGGCTCGAGTTAGTTACCTAACTGGACTGCTCCGTCCATTGCGGCGCCCCTGCTGATCCCAATACCTTGCGAATAGACTCCTCATACCGAATTGGTCCTACAATCTACTTCACAAGCCATTTGAGCGCATCGGCGAGACCTTTATGATCGTATCAGCCTTTCAGATCCTCGTCCTAACCGACAGCGCCGAAGCCATCCACCAGATCACACAGCAGCGCGAAAAGTTCCCAAAGCTAGTTGAGACCTACGCCATCCTGAAGCAGTTTGGCGACAATGTCCTGACCACTGAGGGTGCCGTATGGCGCATGCACCGCAAGGTCACATCCGCGACCTTTAACGAGAAGAACGCCTCCCTCGTCTTTGCCGAGTCGATCAAGCAGGCGCAGAGCATGACGCGCAAATGGCTAGGCCCAGGCGGAGAGAAGAGCAAGGAGACCATCCAGACTCTGGATCACGATACAATGCGGCTCGCCCTCAACATTATCAGTTATGTGGGATTTGGGATGCGCCTGCTTTGGCCGGGACAGTCGCTGCCCGAGGGAGCGGATCCGAAGCTCACAAAGTACAGCTCGCTCGAGGCGGCCCCGGGACACACGATGAGCTTTGCGGATGCCATTGCCGAGATGCTGGAGCATATCTTGGTTCTACTGCTGGTACCACACAAGATCTTAAAGCTGCTGCCCTTCAAGTACACAAAAGAGGCCATTGACTCGCACGACAACTATGTTCAGTACATCGACGAGCTCATGCAGGACAAGATTGAGGATCTGCAGAACGGCGACCACGACGATGCCGGTATGGATCTTATGGGCCAGCTTGTGAGATCGAAATATGGGGATGGAGCGGATGCCAACGGGGGTATCAATGGGACGCTGTCAAAGGGAAAGGAGTCCAAGATACCTCAGCTGTCCAGATCGGAAATCTCTGGCAACGCCTTCATCATGTTAGTTGCGGGACACGAGACGACGGCGAACGCGATGCACTTTGGTCTCATTGAGATTGCGTGCAACCCGGCCGTGCAGCGGCAGCTTCAGAGGGATATCGACGGCATCTTTGGCGACAACGATCCGAGCACGTGGAACTACGAGAGCACGGTAAACCCGATGCTGGCGTCCATGCTGGGCGCCTGCATGAACGAGACGCTCCGGATGACGCCGGCGGTTGTGGAGATCCCCAAGAAGGTCAGCCCGGAAGGCGACGGCATCATTACGCTGGACGGAGAGAAGTACGTGTTGCCAAAGGGGGCAGATATTTCCATCGTGGGCGTGGCAGCGCACCGGAACCCGCGCAACTGGCCGTCGAAGCCGAGCAAGATTTCGGGGGCGGACCACGACCTGGACGACTACGCGCCGGAGCGGTGGTACAGGGCCAGCTCAAAGACGGCGGCCGATACCAAGACTGGCGGCGAGGCGGAGGAGGACTACGGTGGGTACAGAGGCTCGGACACGAGTGAGAAGATGTTCCGGCCGGTGCGGGGGTCCTACGTACCCTTCTCGGACGGACCGCGGTCGTGTCTGGGGCGGCGCATCGCGCAGGTCGAAATCATTGCCGCGCTGTCTGTCGTATTTCAGCGGCACAGCCTTGAGCTGGCGGTGGATGAGTGGGCTAGAGACGCCGAGGTGGAAGCCATGGGTCCGGAGGAAAGGCGGAAGCTGTATAAGAAGGCGCAGGAGAAGTGCCGGGAGACTGTGAAGAAGGCGTCGACGATGTTGACGCTTAAGTTGCCGCAGGGCATGACTGTGCCTATCCGGATTGTGCCGAGAGGACAGGAAAGGTTTGTCGACATTGTTGACTCTGCTTAGATTAGATTGGGACCAGGAGTTGGCTGGCCTGAGCCTGGCTAGTGAGATTGTATCTTCAAAGCTGTATAGTGGTTGCTCTAGAATGGATATATGGGAATACCCGGCAAGGGACAAGACGGAGATATGGTTAGGAGTTCCATATGCATGAATTTGAGGCTAAAATGGCAATTAATGTGAGAATTTCAACCCGTCAGCAGGCCATCGACTTGATCTTGTGTAAGATGGTGATGAGGTGACTGATTGGCTGAGATGTTGTGGTTGTCCCGGTAGCTCATGTTGATCGCGAGGGGCTTCAAGGTGCTGACAACTTCGCGTTCGGTATACTGAAAGTACGGCAGCAGGTGGGAGACAAAAGAAGGCCACGTGTTCTCGTGAGTATCCTCACATTATCGATGAACAGGGTGCTTGCTTGACCCTCGTTTATTTGGCGTCTTCTTTATCAGCGGGAGATCACCAGCCAGTCGCGCGCAGAGGCCAGCGACTAAACCGTTTGTTTACATGCGTTGCCTTTTTCGGACAGCTCAAGTGGATCTGATTGGTCACAACCGTATACTCACCCCAATAGCAGTCAGCACCTCCGTCGCCCAGTGTCCTCTGCGACGGGAGCCCACCTCCAGTGCTTTTGCTGCTCCCGGGAGAGGAGGGAGAGGGCGGAAAGCGCGCTAAACCGGTCGCAATGTCCACTGGACGTCCACACTGGCACACCCCACCCCCTTCCCCCCCATCAGACAGCATCAGCACACCTCCGTTGCCCGCTGCAGCGATGGCAGCTGGAGCAGACAGTCACGACCTACTCACGGTAGCATTCACGTCACAGCGATGGAAGTCCCGTTGCGTCACTTCCCACAGGACCACAACAAGGGGGCCGAGGAAGGTAAACAACGAGCGCTTCGACCATTTTACCCCGTCGAACCCCCCCCAAAATCCACTCGTTAATCACACCCGACCTCACCAGGACCCGACACGACCCTTACAGTTTACAACCTAGGTAGCTCTTCAGCCCAGCTATCGTTGCCGTTATCACCACCGCATCCATCCAATTGCCCCTCCAAAACCGTCACCCTTTCAAAGTACTTTACACTACCACAACTAAAGGACAATCTGCCCTGCATACACTGCAATTCTTCTACAAAGGCATCATTGCAATCGATTCGCTAGAGTCGCCGAGTCTGCGCGATCCATCTGATACCCCTTTTGATTAACTTTTACCACATTTCAATCACCAAACAATGTCGGGCGCAAACTCGTGGTTGGCAAGGCAGCGGAAGAGCGACCTCGTCGAGATTGCCGAGCTGACCGGACTTACTGGGTGAGCATTCTCCTACTATTTTCCCTACAGACACGAAAACCTTTTGCAGCTGTGGCGGCTTTCTCGTTGCTCTGCAAGTCGCATTCAAGCTAAGGGTGCGCTGCTGTCGCGTCGGTTGCGACCGACGTCAAGGCAATTGAAGCGCGTCGAGCTGTCGCAGAGAGGCCCACGATGCTATTCAGACCACGCAACAAAAGGCTAACAACGCGCGGCTTTCAGGTACGAGAATCAGAAAAAGGCCGACTTGGAAGTCACCCTAGATGAATACCTTGCCGAAAACACTATTCAGTTCTCTCAGAACCCCAAGCTTGCAGGCTACTACACCAGTCGCTCTAAGGCTGCCGGCTCACCCGTCAAGAGGGAGGCTCCCTTGACCGATCTCGTCAAGTCCACGCGTCGCAGGGCGACGAGAGCCATCGAGGAGCTTCAGCCCGAGCCCGAGCCAGAGTAAGTCATACTTGTCCCTCCCTCACGCGATGCGCCTCAGAGGCCATATATATTTCCTTGAATCGCGACTAACACGCGTCGCAGAAGAGCCGAATCCTCAAGCCCGGAGCCTGCCTTCTCAACCGCATTGGCGACGCGAACTCCCGCCCGTAATCTCTCTCTTGCGAGCCGTATCCCTCTGCCCGCGACACCCGCTGATGTTGCCGAGGCCGTCGACCGTCACACTGTCGCTCTGCGCGAGCGTGCGACAGAACTCTACGACCAGTCTGGCATCCAGGAGGGCACCCAAGCTGTGCGCTCCTCCCTGTCAACCGTCACGTCGGTGCTGTTCACCGTGGCCGCGTTCGAGGCGTGGAACCTGAGAGCCGAAGTCCTGCCCCTCCGCTACGCCTTCACCATCCCCGCGATCCCGGCTCTGGGCACCAACTTCTACCCCGTCTACGTACCCGACGCGTTCCTGTTCGTGACCTCGTCCTTCTGGTCGCCCGTCACGCTGTGGACGCTCACTTCTGTCCTTATTCCCTCCTTATTCGGATATTTCTACAACCTGAGCGCGGCGAGCCATCCCCAGCCTCGCGGCCGCAAGTCATCGACCGTTGAGTACAACGTTGACCCCTTGGTCTTCAGCATTGTCAAGGCTCTGATCTCGTTCGTTGTTTACGCCCAAAAGGTCAACTTTGGCGGCTGGATCAACGAAAACTCGATCGACCGCATCAACGGCGCTCTGTATGGAGAGTGGAAGGGCATCTTGACTGGTGCTGCCATCACCGGGCTTGTTAGCCTCTACGATGCCGTGCTGAAGAAGTAGTGCCCATCTGCTCGGAACACGACATTTTCCCGAGCTCCTCGAGCGTTTGGGACTCCTCCCAGCAGTCCGCGGCGCACAAGCGGAAGAGCTACACGGAAGCTTCGCAACCGTACTGTTTGAACTCTCGTGTTGCGCCAAGTTAGGCGCCTTGCTTCTTTCTTTCTCGTCACTCAATAGCGGCGTTCTGGGCGTTTCATCGGCGTCATACGTGGCTCTTTGGCTGATACCTTGTTCGAATTCGTGATTGGAATGCTCATGACGATGGCCAACATCGCCTCTGGTTGCCGGAGAGTACGGGCCCCTTGGCTTGGTTCGTCAGATTTCTTCATGGTGCGGTGGTCTTCGTTTACGAGACTGGGCGCGACTTGTTCGGTTATTTTTCTTGCGGAATTTTATTCTTGTTGCTTTGTCAGTTGCAGCGGTTATCGACATTGGCGGGCGGGTGGCAAAGTCTCCCTTTTGATGGGATACATGCCGACAGATTCCACATTGGATCTGGGAGGTAGGGCGCTGAGACTGCTCTGGGTGTTTTGCCCTTGTAGAAGTCATGAGAGATGAACTGAGGAAATATACTGCTTTTCACGTTCTACCCCATTATACTCTGTGTGCGCTCAACCCCTTGGTTGGCTCATCGTGTCGGGTCTGCAACTCAAATGGCAAAATGTAGCTTGAACAAGGCCAGCGACTGAGGCATGACATGTGGTGCTTGTTTGTCTTTGAGTCTTCGAAGGGGACTGGACGTGCGGAACAACGACGGCCTGGGCTCTTTATGTTTATATGGTTCTGGCCATAGTGCCCGAAGGGACCTCTCTGTTGGTTCTTTACCATGTCTTGCAGACTCTGATAGCCATCGAGAAGGAATACTACGGCGGAGAGATTAGATAGTTGGTTGAGTGTGGCCTCCGGGCTTACAATCTCAACCAAAACTTGTACGGCATTGATAACCCGCTCAGCACGTGATAGTTAAATGGAAATGATCACATGACATGGCGGAGGGCAGTCTTCACGGTCTACCTCACCACCAAAGCTATCGTGACTGATTACCCAGATACCACCAAGAGGGAGGTATGAAATTCTGCGCGACTGCATTACGACGATTCCAACTAGCAATACTTAGGACTGGACATTCGTGTGGCAAACGCTCTTTGACCAACCGCTTCCGGTACAAGTGAACTAATATAAACTGACGAGCGCTGTGACACTTACTCTGCCCTCATGACGGCCATATGTGAGCTCCCCATGCGCTTACCTAAGGAGCGACCAAACACCCGGACCATCCCGGCAGCCGGCCAGCCAATCAAAACGCCGCTAATGCAATTAGCGAGAAAAGAGGCGAAAACCATCAACGCTCGTCGACAACGTCAACCATCTTTCCCGAAAAGAGAGCCCCCCCGACCGTCTGCCTTCGAAAGTCGTCCTCCGCCGGCCGCCCCTCCCCGCGATAAACCCTCTCCACTCCTCATTAAATCAGTTCCTCCGAAGAGAGATCGAACCAGCTCGGATCACCAAGATGCTTTCCTCCACGAGGACAGCGGCCTCAATGGCCCTGCGAGGTAAGCTCTCCCGACTCGTCGTCTCCGGTCTACCAAGGAACCGGGACCGCAACCGCCACACCACGAATCTCCCTTCGCGAGCTGTCCAATTGTGCGCCTGTCTGGACGAAACCCCACGATACTCCGTCACCAATCACCAAGGAGACAATGGATGTGTGCCGCGGTTTCAATTGAAGCTCTATTCGCGAAGGGGGGGGGGGGAGAGAAAGCCGAAACATTTGACTGACCTCAATTGGCCACTGTAGCGAAGCCCACCGCGTCCATCACCCCCTTCAGAATCGCCGCCGCCTCGATTTCCTCCTCGTCACGAAAGGACGCCAGCCCCGCCGCTGCGCACTCGACCGGCCTCATCAAGAAGGAGCGCAAGGAAGTGCCCCTGGTTAGCCAGGAAGGCACCAAGGGTGTTTTGCAATATGCTCTGTACGCACCCCTCTGTCCGCCTTGTCCCTCATTATAATACCCACGCCCAAACATATCGATCAAAACGAGCTCTTACTCCAATGGCACTATACTAATGAAGCAATCGTTCTCGCCTCACAGCACCTCCCTCGACGTAATAACGAATTGGGCCCGTCAGTCCTCCCTCTGGCCCATGACCTTCGGTCTCGCCTGCTGTGCCGTCGAGATGATGCACCTCTCTACCCCCCGCTACGATCAGGATCGTCTCGGAATCATTTTCCGTGCCTCCCCCCGCCAGTCCGACGTGATGATCGTCGCCGGCACCCTCACCAACAAGATGGCTCCCGCCCTGCGTCAGGTCTACGACCAGATGCCTGAGCCCCGCTGGGTCGTCTCCATGGGCTCCTGCGCCAACGGCGGCGGCTACTACCACTACTCGTACTCCGTCGTCCGCGGATGCGACCGCGTCGTCCCCGTCGACGTCTACGTCCCCGGCTGCCCCCCGACCTCCGAGGCCCTCATGTACGGCATCTTCCAGCTCCAGCGCAAGATGCGCAACACCAAGATCACCCGCATGTGGTACCGCAAGTAGATTCGTGACCTTGTTGCAAAACATCTCTGTGTTTGGAAAATGAACAAACGAGAGAACGGAGAACGAATTGAAAGCGAGTCGGAAAGAATATCGAGACGGCGTGGCTAAGGTGGGCGGTATTTTCTTGGACCGCATATCCAGTAAAAGAGAGGCAGTTGGCGGTCTAGTAGAGGAGGAAAATGCCTTAGGCCCGGGAGAAGAGAAAGATTGAGGTACGCCAGGCATGTTGGGGGCCCTTTGATAACGGCAAGGCTTGGGCTTCATTTTTTTCTTTTGTATGCGGTTGCGTTGCGTGGGCGTGGCTATGTACATATGCGGAGGTTTTCATCCGCAGACGATCGCGGTCGTGTAGATTACAAGTTCTGCCATCATTTCAAAACCATGTTTAACTTATTTCGTAGCCCAGGTCGTGAGATGCCTCAACTTGATATATGTGTTTAAGAGATGCTCGAGACTTTAGGCTAAGAGGCGAAAGTGAACAGGGGTGGACAGACGGGCTCATCCATGATGGTCTTTCCTATGACCAGTATATTTGCCGCCGTTTCGACAAGGCGGCTTTAGCTTCACGAAATACCCACGGCATCTCAACGGTTTTAAAGACTTGTTGAAGAGACATCAACACGCGCAATGGCAGTCTCAGATGAGGTATGTATGTATATAAACTATATATCTGATGCGGATATCGCACTGGAGTTGTGATGCCCGAGAATAATCAAATGCGCCCGTCATCCCTTTGCTTAGCTTTCCTGTCTCTTGCCCTCGGAAGCCCTGGTCGTTTGAGCATCTCTCTCCTCCCCGAGGCGGTAATTAAAGTCCCTCCTTGCTGCGGACTCACTTCGCAGACATCTAAGTTATCGATGCAAATTCGCCACACCCAAGGAGCTTTTTGGTACAACACAGTTTCCCCTAGACAACTCTGCTCGTACTTTGCCACATTTCGACTCGAGTCGCTTCGTCTCGTCATCACTTTCCACTACCCCTCCGCATATAGAAAGAAGAAGAATCAGAGGTTTATTCCAAGTATCCCTACCGCACGCCGAACATCCGAATGAATTTGATGCTGTGAAATCATACTAGCAGTAGCTTCGATCCGAGCCCACCCCAACGTGTGCTGGATGCAATGTGCTTCGCGCATGCTCTCCTCACATTCAGCGGTGAAGATCCAGCCACTACGTGGCGAAGGCTCGTGTTTTCGTCGTCCTTTTTGCACATGCTGAGACGCATACGCAAAGACATGAGCCCCATCGGACGAATGAGGCATCTATTCTTGACCGAAGCCCATAGTCTCTTCAACGGCAATTGTAAGCTTCTGCTGGAGCATTTCCAGACTCTTGTATGGCGGTAGGTCCAATCGGTTGAAACTAGAACAGAGTCAGCGGTTGAACTTCACCATGCCGTGGGCAAGTATCTTACCATGTGTGTGCCTTGGGAAGATTGTTAATCTCTCCAGCCTTTTCGATCGTAAATCTTCTCGGACCGTCACTTCCTTGCAAATCCTTGAAACCGTTGACCGGGATACGCGATGTGCCCGTCGCGAATTGAAGTAGACGCGACTTCTGCTCTCCATCCCACGAACGAATCGTCTGCCAGAAGAACTGAATAACCTCATCTGACTCTGTGTATCCGCGGTAATCGGTGTGCTTCTTCCAATCATCCACGTCGATCTCAGCGATACCACCAATCAGCAACTCAAGCTCACGTTCATCGAAAACGTTGACCAAGTCCTGGGGGATAAGCTCGTGGAAGCCATCCTTGAAGGCTTGGAATTGCTCCGCAATACGCTTCTCGATTCTCCACTTCACCATGAGATCAACGTACTCCTTCTTGTTCTCGTTCGTGACGTCGATGTCACGACCACCGGGAATGAGATCCTCCACGGTCATAACACCGAAGCGCTCGTCCTCAGTAGAGAATGTCTGCTCAAGAATTCCTCCAGAAATGTCGTTGTCAAGCATCCATTGCAGAGAGCGGTGGAAGTCGGCATCCACACCTTCCATGTCGGCTAGGACGACCGACTTACCCAGGATCATCTTGTATAGGGCTCCGATGAAGAAGGCATCGAGGAAACGACGGTGGAAAATCGCCAGACCAACAACACGACCAATGAACTTGAAGTAGTTCAGATGCTCGGGGTTAATACCGGAGTGGGGGTTGATTTGAAGGGTGTAGTTGTCGTGGGCGGAGTACTCGAACAGGCAGTAGAACGGGTTGAACATCTCGTGGGAGAGAAGGAAGAAGAATTCTCTGGAGAGACCACCATAATCCAAACCGTCCTCACCATCGAATTTAATCATGAGACGCTTCTTCAAATCAGTAGCAGACTGCCGAGTGATTTCTGCAAAGGAGTCCTCGAAGATGTGAGAACGCCGCACCTTGATGTGGCACTGTCCGGAAAGAATGCGCATCGCAGGTTGCGAGCGGAAGTAAATGAGCTTCCTTCTGAAGTCTCGCTTGTA